GCTGATAATATTATTAATATATGATAGTTCCAAAGAATTAGCAGAGGAGCACAGTGCACAAACTAAAAAACTTACCTCTCACAAATTATGTTTTAAGCAGTAAAGACGTCACTTAAATTACCATTTACGTCACAATCCGATTTAGCAGTAGGGACATAGTTATGGAAATCAGCACTAATATTAGAAGCGTGGGTTTTGTAAGGACAGAAAATTTGTGTTTAAAAACTAAAGAATGTAGGCGGATCTATAGACTGCCTGGTTAGTTAAATGGCCCTAGCCCTATGTGCGACTGCTGAGTAAGGGGTTTAAGGTTCTGTAATTGATGAAGATAATGAACTGAAATGATGAACCTTAGAATTGAGGCCGGTAAAACGACTAAACCCCTATTAGGTACATGAGACTCATAATGTAACTGATAAAAAGTGGGTGTACATCGCATTATATGCCATAGCCTTCTGGAATTAAACTGCGAGGACCATCCTGAGGACACGTGGGAGATTTCGGTGGCTGTGTGCCCAACTTGGGCTGAGCAGCGCCATGTCCTTCAAGTGATCGACGGCAGCGAATTCTCGCCTTGATACGTAGCGAGACGAACTAACAAGCTTCCTTCTGTGAAGCAGTCAGGGTCGCAAACAAGGAGATTGAGCGCCTGAGGCAAGTATCCACTTCATGACATTCCAGGCAACGGGAACACACGAAGAGTAGATTGCCTCCAAAATGCGACCAGACCCGCGAGTACAGCGCGTCGCAAAGAGCCATCCTCATATACATATATAAGTCTGTTGAGCCATCAGACATTCAAAACTGGAATCCACTAGGTCCGGTTGATGCTAGCAAGCCCAGCTAACTGGCTGCTAACTGCCCAGTTGAAAAAAGGCCTTCGGGAATAAAAACCTTGACGACATGAAGTCTAATCGAATATCCGATTTTACGCACTATAAAAACTACTTTGGTACGCCTTAGAACAACGACCAACCCTTATGACTACTTCGTCGACAATCTAACTGCGATTACCTAGCAGCATTCTAGTCTATTTTCTGTGAATATCTAGTTTCCTTAATTCTAAGATAAGTTTTACTGCGTCTGTCTGTTCGAGTTAAACTTGACGTTAATAGCTATATTTAACACAGCTACTTACAACTTCCTTAATGGATCTTCAAGTTTACTGTTCCTGAACTCCATAACACACACATGTCACAAAGATTGAAGAGATGAGGACAAGGAGTACAGAGATATTTTTCTTCAATTTTAAAACAATATTTGGAAACTTCTGTAGTATTTGAATTACTCTAAAAATTAGAACCTTACTTCTTTGCTGTATCATAATAGGGCTTAAAATTATTCCGTAGCGAAATGCTTAAAAGTTTTTAAAAGAGGCCTGAAGGACTGTAAAGATGCAGGACAGTAGTACGTAGGACAGTGTAGTAATTTTTTAACACAGTCAAACGGGGTAAAAAATTACTACAATACATAATTTTAGACCGAAACAAAGAAAATAGATATGATTTTTTAAACATTGAAATTTATCGTCTTTGCAATTTTTCTTTCCAGAACCTTCCAAAACATATTTAAGATCTTCTTTGATGATATTACATGAGCCGTGTACGTACTAATAACATTGTAAGTACAATCTCCATACTGTCAACCATGTTGATGCCCGCTTCTCCCATGGGACCAAGTCCCCGTCACTTCGTCAGAACTATGAAGAGGCCCAAATACTTTCGGCTTTTACGAGTAATAAGTATAAGCAGCGCATAGCTTCACATTTTGTTTATGTTCGAATATGAAATTGGAAAGCTTGTTAATTATTTACATGACATGTCTCATGAAGACCTAATGACGGATGCTACCTATCCTATACCTATCATCAGCCTATAAGTGCCCACTGCTGAGCAAAGGCCTCTTCTCACACGGAGAAGGTTAGAGCATTAATCACCACGCTTGCTCAATGCGGGTTGGTGATTTCAAACTTATAATTAGAAATTATAAGTCCAGATTTCCTCACGATGTTTACCTTCACCGTATGTCAGTGGTGTCTAAATAATCATAGAAAGTACATATAATCAGAGAGATCGGAAAAAGTCACATTGGTACTTGCCAGGTTTCGAACCCAAACCCTCATGCATGAGAAGCGGGCGCCTTAACCTCTGGGCCACCACCTCATAATTTGAATGACGGATGCTAATTAGATATAATACTTTAGATTACACATAAGCGAAAGCGTTTTCGACAATAATACAATACGAAATGCTGTGTGTTAGCCAAAATTGCTAAACAACCAATAATGGTGATAGAGATAAATAAGTATGTAAGTTCATCATTGAGCAAGGGCAAATCTAATACTTTTTACGTTTCATGCAGCCCTAATACCGTTGATTAATTACTGTTAGTGACGTCAGTCATGATACTCATGATATATGAAGTGTTAATCTATGCAATATACTGAGGCCGGTATCAGTGAGTGCCACTTCAGTTATCAGGGCGTCATAGCTTTGATTTCAGCTTTATCTCGAGCACATACACAACGAACTTTATTAAAGTGGATTTTTGGGAGCAAAATACTCACTTAGTGACATATTGCGGTGTTATTGTGCAATTTTATATTGACTGTATGCACTGGATGGTTAATAATACTCGACGCAAAGGTAAAACGAGCGAAAATATTTGCTTTAAGATACAAAAGAAAAAAACATTTTTTTTTTTATTAGACCCTTACAGGTACTTATGAACGTCAAACAAAATATTAAAGATATGAAGTGTCAGCCAGTCAATCGTTGAAGCTTTATTAAGTAAGACGACTGACTGGCTGACACTTTTGCTCATTCCAAAGTGTAGATTCCGATGGCGAAGAACGAGCAAGAAACTCCATGGTTACTCTCAGTGTCACATACAGATTCATTACATTACAGTACATTAATAAGTTGGATCAATTATGTGAGAACAGTGTTACACTGATATTTATATTGACTGAAATAAAAAAATATTTAAAGTAGATTTTGTTTCACTTTCAAGGCGTTCTTCGATGACTACCGTTTCTTTAAAATTGCTATTGAACAGACATGGGAGACATGTAATTATCAAATAAACAAGATGATTTTAATTCCGATAACACGGGCGAAGACGCAGCATAAACCTATACACAGTATACCTACACGCAAGGTTTAGCTTAAAATGAATGAGATACCTACCACAGTACTTACATCAGAAACCTAAATAAATGGTCCCGATATAACTGTACCCAGTAACCCTTTTCTTGTAACGAAATCAAAATTTCAGAAGCCCTTTAATTAAAATCAACAAACAGACCTCGGACGGGAGATTATTTCAAAATTAATTTTATAATTGTTTCACAGAGAAAATGTGTGTTTTTTACGAAAGGGATCCGAATGTTGTACCTACTTGCCTACCTATAAATTTTATTTCAGTTTTAAAACAATGTTTGGAAAATTTTGAAATATTTTAATTACTCCTAAAAATTACAACCTTATTTCTCATCATCATAGGGCTTTAAATGGTCCGTAGCGCATTGCTGTAAGTAAGTAGGTATATATACTTCGGTACTTAACTTCTTACATAGTGAAGAAATGAGAAGAAATCATCACGCTTGCTCTAAGAAGATTAAATTCTGTTCAAAATTAATAGTACAGGTTTTCGTCACTATGTTTTCTTTTGTCGTCTGTGATACTTAAATCAATTTAGAAAATAAATATAACTTAGAAAAAGGTATTGGATTGGTCCTTGTCAGTTGATAAATGTTTCATACTTTTAGCTTGATAAGCAAAGCAATATTTCAATAAATAATGTAAATAAAAATTTACAAATATTCAAATAAACTTTGGATATTGGTTCATAATCTTTTCTGTACTGCTAAGGTATCTCCCAATTAACTAAAACAAGGGTTAACATACCTTCTAAGAGCTCACATAAAATCTTATCTGTGCTCGTATGGAAGTAACTAACCATGTTTCCTTCCATCTTTAGTTCGAATGAAAATCGTAAAACAATCCTTCATCTAAATAAATTAGAGTAAGTAGGAACCTAAGGTACCATTAGTTTCGATATATTGTAGTATTTAAGTAAAAGCAGAGATAGGAAATAAGCTGGCGGATTAATCAAATGAGAGACCTCTGTATGCTTGCCAGATGTTAATCTTGCGAGAAATAAGGCAGTCAAGTATGCAAGAAAGCGATCCTTGAGTTCTTTCCTCGATCGTTTACGTAGATACATTTCTTCAATAGAACAAATAAATAATTACGATATCTACTAACAAAGTGAACAAAAATTTAGCAATATATACGGTGAAACAAAAAAATAATTGATTACCTACTATTTACTACATTTTAAAAATCTAAAAATATCTCTTGAAAGTATAATCATTAAGCTATATTCTTTAAGTTATTTTGTATAAGTGGTTGAAGAAAGAGGGTTTGTTATTATATTTTGGCATAAGTACCATATTGTTGTCCCCTCGATGTAGTTTGAGGATGGAATCAGAAGATGCCTGATGAAACTTTTGGTTGCAGATAAACATATTAAGTAAATATTTCCATTACTCTGATTTAAAGCGAGTTTAAATTTATTTTAGCTGTTTTTTTGCTACATCAAGGATCTTTCTCTGTAACTAGGTACAATAATATGAACCTATGTTGAAAAGATTTGTGCGTTACATAGTTAGATTGATACAATCAATATGAAAAACTGTTTCTATCTCAACTCTAATTTTCTTTTAAATTTAATTAAAAATTTAATTAGGAAACAAGAATATTTTTTTAAATTTATGTCCACAACAAACTGGGCGGAAGAAGCTAAAATGCGACGAAACAAAACTTTTAAATTCAATCTTAATTAAATACCGACAATGAGTATGTTATCAATCTAAATCTAATGTCTTACTATTACCTATAATATTTTTATGTTGATAAATCGTAAGACTAACATGGTCTCGTTTTTAACAGCCGACAGTATCATTAGCCAACACAGACTAACTTATCAAAACCTACCTTCCCTCCAAAAACGTATCCAAGCTCCAGAGCCACCAGCTGCGCTACTTCTTCACCACCTTCCACTTCCACAGTCCACTCGTTAACAAACTCCTTTGCATGCTCCAAACCATTATGCACTCCTTGATACCCATACTGCCCTGGTACCCAAAAACTGGGCTCATTATGGTACCACGACAAAACTGAAGTAAATAAACTAGCAATTAGAAGTGTTAGAAGCGTCATTTATATTATTAAGTTGATTGGTGTATTTATGAATATTGAGTAATGGGAGTTGGAGCGAGGTCGGTGTCCAAACATGTACTAAAGGCCGTCGGACAACAAGAGAGGAAAACTGTGATTTTTCCCAAGCGGCGCGCCACCGACCGGCCGGTATACTCGGCTGTTGTGTCCGACTGTGCTTTCGCGCGCTTTTGTCGTTATATATTTTTCTATAGTACTGACGAGCTTTAAGTACGTTTTTGTTTGATACTAGGTAAAATAATTTACCCAAAAATTAAAGAAAGGATAATGTAAAAGGCGAAGCTCCCTAGTTTCAATACAGGAATGTAGAAATCCATTGGAATGAAGGCATCATTAGACAAAGGAAAGGGTTCTTGTATACTTTTTTCTCAAAAAAGGTTCGTCACCTTAGTATTTTCTCCTGCATTGTACTTATTTGAACTTATACAAAGACTATACCTGTGTATATAAATCCAAAATATGTTAACATTGCACATAATAAAATGCTACGTCATTGTATTATAAATTAATGTAGGCTAGGTAGTCTTTCTCATATTTTTTGCGCACACATTTAAATTAATAAATGTTCTATGAGTGGAATACACACGTTTCAATGATTATTACAGTAGCCACTAAACACACAATATACATAACTACTATTGTGATATTTCATCTGTTTCTAACTCCAATATTTATTTAATTAAATAGAGTATTGAGCGTGTTACGCAATAGTTTCCAACAAAAACCCCAGCAAAGTAATCTGCCGAATTTTGCTTGCGTACCGTTACATAACAGTTTGTTGTTTAAAAAAAACAATAATAACTTCATTCCTCAACGAATTAATTACGTCATTGTGTCCACGAGTCGTTGATTCAGTATTAGTAGAAAATGAAAATAATTACTTGATTAAAAACCTACTGGTTACTTATAAAAAAATTGAAAATTATCCGCAATCGTAAACAAGACTGCAAAATGAATAAATGACAAAATTAAAATACACTAGGTACCATCAAAGTAAAAAGAATTCGAAGTTATTTGGGGTATCTCGAAATATAGTTACGTACTAGTTACGTACAACTAATGAATTAAAGTATATTCTAACTAGCATATGAGTGGGAGACCCATGCTTCGTCATAAAAGAGCCCGTAGGTACCTACGACGGGTGTGAAACAGTCTCACAGAATATTGGCGTGAACGGTTATGTTGTTTCAGCGAGGTTATCGAAGCTTAAATCCCTTTTTGTCATGGGAAAATCATCAAATGACTGCTCTCGCCCTAGGTGAGTCGAGAGGAAGTGTCAGTGTCCCACAAAGTGATGCATGTGCAAATTTTCATCACGCCTTACCCTGGGCGGGATAAGTCATTTAATGTTTTTCCCCTGACAAAAAAACAAAAGGCAGCACCCAATCACAAAATAAAATAGAACATGGTATTTTCGTGTATTAAAAGGCGAAACTAAATTCTAATGTATCTACACCTATTATCTCTACATAGATATCTACACAAACGCAGATTCTAGACTTCGAACTGAATGAAAAAGAAAATTTATTTCTATGAGAACAGCATTTGAATAATTTCAGTAATTTGCAACAGAAATAGCAGTCAACCGCATAGACAGTGATTATGGACATAACGAGGTTGCAAATGAAGTGTTTTATGATTGGAGCAAGCTATGAAACACTAATTCCTTGTCATTATTCAGAGGAGTGCGACGGAGTGAGAGGACCATTTGTCCCACGCTACTCTTTCAGTTCTGACGTCATTCGCTTTTCGTACACAGAGATCAATCATTTACTTAAATAAATATTTATACTAACTTTTCAGCGAGCTATTAGCACTAAATTATATCTTGAGTATTTAAAAACTTAATATAGTATATTTAGTGTTTGAAGGTGGGGGTCCAAAGCGAGTTTTATGTACCTACTGACATCACTAATGCACAGTAAAGAGAAACGTTGTGAAACAACCTGGACTCTTCATTTCTAATTATAAGTTCGGAATCGCCAATCCGCTTTGAGCAAGCGTTGTGCCCATTCCTTATGAGGACCTTTCCTTTTAGGCATTAATAGTCTATGATGAATAATTCTTTGTCTGACTCTTGACTCTCAAATCAAACCCTTGCTCAAGAACCTCGCTTACAGTCCACGGGATGGAATAGAACTATTTATAGTGTAGTTTAGTTATTTGAAATAACATAACATCATAGCATTTCTAAGATAACATGATGCTTTCCGGCTACAGTAAGTGCGGGTCTGCGGACCAGAAACAGAACCAGAAAGTAGCAGCAGGGCGCGTAGCGTTCCGCGCGCGCTTCAATGAGCCAATAGACCAACACAGACGGGGCTCATGTTCAGACATGTTGCGGGGCAAGCGCAATAAGGTAAGGAGCTTTTAGTAAATCATTTGATAATTTTCCTCCCTCAAAAAAGTCATGTAATAAAATCACATCTTTTTCCCCGACAGAGGTTTTTTCCGTAAAATTCTGTCAAGATCAACCCTACTTGACTCAACTGGTATTGGCCCTTTTTGTCCATCCAGGACGCTCGACGATGATATAAAATTCCGTTCAATGTTGTTATGTATGTTGCCTCATACGTACGCCATACGGCTCCTTAGTAACTAAAGTAATCGAGTACTAGAGTAGGAGGCTCTTTCAAAACTGTCTGTCTGGATAACGCACTACGTATAAGATAATTGTATGAACTATGTGTCAAGTACCTACTTCGAGAAAGTAAAACTACCTTGATCAATAATTAATTACAACATTATGCCATACAATATAAAAGAAATAATCATAACACATTGACGATTTAGAGATTTCGACAAAAATATTCAATTTGGCCAGTGGTCAAGTTTTTTGGCACAAGTGGAAAATCCACACGAAGACCACTCCCCCGGGGAGACGAAGTGGACTTTCAGAGTTTTACTGAATAAAAAACTGGTGTCCGTTCTATGAGGAGTGAAGCTACGAACACAAAAAAAATCTATAACATGATAAACTTGAAAACTTTTACAAAAGTCATACATAAACACGGATATGAAAATAAATTTTTATCATGCATTAGATAGATGTTTGTCCTTCGTAGCTTTTAAACTCTTAAATCCAAACAAGCCTATCAATCAAATTAGAAAAATCAATATGAATAGGCTTGAAGTACCAGGGTATTATAAACAAATGGAAATGTGTTTATTGCACAACCGGCAGTGTGTCAGTGGATCGATGGATCGTGGCCGTGAGGCGTCGACTGTCTGCGGCCGCGCATGTTACCGTAAACAAATAAATGCTTTCAGATAAACTGATGTGACCACGATTCTTTTCATTGATATCTTTAGTGAAAAAAGTTGATGTTTAATTTTATTAAGATATTTTTCACTCGGATAAATGATCTCGGATCCATGGAAATATTTTTATATACAATATCATAATCAATGGCTGTGCCACTTGCAACTGGGTCATCAGTTGCAAGTGCTGCCCCAGACAACAATTAGTAGGTATCTTAAACGAAATAAACATTTCAAATCCGGAAATTAATAACCCCGTCATTAAAGATCAATAGTCAGTTAACTGTTTAGCCTCTTCTTAAAAAAAGCTTAACAAGGTTCACTACGGCCATCTACAAATAAAAGATTTCCTTCTTAATCTGCGTCTGATGGGCATACTAACAATAACTCAAGGAATCGTCCGTGACGGCCAAAATACTCGTACGCGGTATATCCGCGTTATATCCACCCTACACGCACTGGAGGTTATTTCGGGACTATTACTAACTACTTGTACATTGGTGCTCAAACTTTGTTCATAATAACACTTCCTTGTACCTTAAGAATTCGCAGAAATTACTGCGAAGGGCAACGGAAACTTTAATGTAAAATTCTTCTTCTAGCGAATGTGAAACGGAAATATCAATCTTAAAACTGGAATAATTCAAAAGTTATTATTTTATATTTATAGAGTAGATACTATTGCCTATTTCCAACTTTAATTTTGTAATGTGTTCTTTAATCACTTGAAAACGGACTAAAATAAAAATGCAAGACTCGTCAAAAGAAGTTTGCAAAAAATGCAATCCCCGGAGATCAGAACGTCTGGTGGCTATTTTAAAACTAGCTTCAACGTCACAACAGTTTATACTTGCATAGATAATCTCTATTTTCAGCATGACATTTTTTCACAAATGAATAAATTAAAACAGTGAACGGTTTTGAAACCTATCAAAGCTATTCCTGAAATAGTTTTAATTTAATTGCTGACTACGATGAAGTGGTGAAACCTTTAGTATTTCGTATAAATACATCTAATATAGAGAAATGTGTGCTAATATTTGCTAAAGTAAAATTGAGTAGTAATTTACTTTCTAATATCAACTTTCTTGTAAGTAACTAAAAGATGTACCTATTTAAATTAGGTAAATATTGTGTAAAAGAGAAAATTACATCGATAATGATACACAAACGGATAGGAAGCTGCGTATGCAAACATACTGTACAACTATAACTTTGGCTATCTCTGCTCAAACGCATATCCGAAGCTCGCGCGCACCCGCAGTCGCGATGCGCGCGCCGCTCACACCCGCGGCCTGTGCCGCATTACTTCTGCTCTGGCCTGCCTCCCTGGTACTCTGCTATCAGGACGACAGAGGATACCAAGTAGAGGACGCTTACCACGACGATGTGTTAGACGTGTGAGTGATTTATGTGCCGCTAGTATTTCTGTGATCATCATCATCTCCAGTGATCTTTGTGATTTTTATTTTTTAATTATTTCTGTCATACGTACGTATCGGTTAGTAAGCGGAAGTGGTGCTCGTAAAATGGCTCCAAATAATTTTATTTCTGCGGGTGATAATGTCTTCCAATGAGCCCTGTATCGTGTTTCGTGGCAAGTTTAATTTGAACATCTTAGTGAACGAATAATTAATTAGAATTCAAGTCGCGAAGTTAATTATTACATTGCTCCCGGCCTACGTGGGACAAAAATTGCTTCGTTTTGGAGCATTAAAGCTCTGCCTACATTGAGTAATGTATTTAGACTCCTTCACAGCTTCATTAACTATTTAAACGAATCAATAAAGAAATTGTGACTTTAATAGTCGAAGGAATTTCCATTTATTGTTTCAATTAATTTATGAATCAGTTGCATCGAGTAGTTTAAAAATCAAAGTGCGTGGGTTCAACGACTGCTGGTGAATGAAGTACGTTGCACTAC